GACATAGAGGATGTCTTACTAGCGAGTCATTTACTGAAGTCAGATGGGAATGTAAGAATACTGCCTGACATACCGTATTCTGAGCGCAATCTCATCCGGAAAATCCCCGAAGAAACTCGCGATCAGTTTTTCCGCGGGAGGAATATAATCGTGCAAGGTATACTGGAAAATACGGACCCTACTCAATCAAACTCTGACATCAGGGAATGGAAATTCATCAAACAGTCCTTGAGGCTCAAAAACATACTGACTCAGCATGTGACGAGACTAGCCAAGAAGGATGGTGATTCTAGACCCCGTCTAATGGAGATAACCTTCCCGTCTTCCCATGTGGCGGCTGCAGTTCTGGAAGCATTTCGTGCCAACAGACGTCGACTGCCACCTGGAATCCACATGCATCCGGATAGGCCATATGAAGCTAGGACCAAACACAAAGGCAAGTTGGAGCTAATCATTCCACTTGTGAACTGTCTAGACGATTAAAAAAACGTGTAAAGGACAGGGCCTACCACCTCGGCAAACCTCATATAGGTGGGCTACCTGTCCATTCACATAAGGCTCATACAGACAAACAGAAAGAAGCTCACGCGTTTCAAATTGAAAGCATAAACTGCTTATATATGAACGCCGCGAGTCTACCAAACAAATTGGATGAACTACGTGAACTTAGCAATGCTAACAAGGCCCATCTGATAGGAATATCTGAAACCTGGATATCTTCTCAGTTCTCGGCCCATGAGCTAGCATTACCTGGGATGTCTTTGTTCCGCAATGACAGAAAATCAGGATTTGGGTGCGGAGTAGCTGTTTACATACATCCTTGCTTGGAGATGCGCCAAGTTCATAACCTCGAGTTTAACAATCTTGAGGAATCTATATGGTGCTCTGTAAGATTGTCAAGTACTTCGAGGTATCTAGACGAAGTCATTTACAGGAAGCCAACTGCCGACATCGAGTACAATAGTCGTATGCTGTAAGGACTATCACGCTCTACTCGTCTCGGTTTCACACACATCCTGATTCTAGGGGACTTTAATCTCCCTAGAGTCAACTTGGCGGAACACACGTATACTGGAGGCGACAACTCAATTGAAGCTCGGTTCTCCAACCTCATCGATGACTTGGGATTGTTCGAAAATGTGAGGTCGGCAACTCGTTGGAGAAACAATCAGACACCATCGCGCTTAGACTGTGTATTCACAAACGAAGAATTCCTAGTAGACAACCTCTCAATCCTGGCTCCTCTGGGAAAGAGCGATCATGCCGTCACAGCATTCAGTTTAGCCATCAAAACTAAGCTAAGATATCCCAACAATAATTTGCGTTGGAATTTTAAACGGCTGAATGTGCCAGCTCTACATGACTATCCACAACAGGTGGTTTGGGATGTTCACCCCCAACTCAAAGTGGACGGTCATTCGGACTTCTTACTGCACACGCTCTTACGTGCTACAAACCATTCAGTTCCTCAAACGGTTCCCAAAAGCTGCAAGCCACCTACAATAATCGAGAACCCTACCCTTCGCCTGCTAAGCCGCAAAAGGCACTGTTGAGCGGAATACAAAAGAACTGACAACGACGGAGCGTACAGGCAATATAAAAATATCAAGAACATATGCACGAAGGCTATAAGATAAGATAGGCTTCAGTACCAGACAAAGCTTATGGACAAATTTGCCCGCAATCCTAAAAGCTTATTCCGTTATGCAGCCTCTCTTCGTCAAGCTAAAACTGTAGTTTCCCAAACGGCAGGTCTTAACGGTCCGACCAACAACGATGGCGACGCCGCTAACCTTCTGGCTGAACATTACTCCCAGACATTTCAACCGACTGACATTAACTTTACTGATGACAGTTTCGTTTGCAATTCCACAGAACTTTCCGAAGTGAACCTAAGCGCTGACTTGGTGTTCCGGAAACTGCAGCACTTAAGACTAGATACTTCTCCTAGCCCGGATATGGTTCATCCTGCCATACTGAGGGAGGCGGCCTCAATCCTGGCAACGCAGCTTAGCATGATGTTCTCACACTCGCTAAGTCGAGGAAAACTACCGGAAAATTGGTAGCTGGCTCACATCACACGAATTTTCAAAGGAGGTCGACGCAATGAACCTTTAAGTTACCGACCGGTGGCTCTTCTCCCTATACCTTCAAAACTCATGGAGTCTCTGATATGCGATGGTATGCACGACTATTTACTGTCCTTAAACTTCTTATCACCCAAACAGCATGGTTTCAGGAAGGGTTACTCTTGTATTACCAACCTGTTGACTGCGGCGGACAGATGGACAAGCATCCTCGATCTCAAGAGGAAGGTTGATATCATCTACCTAGATTTCTCAAAAGCTTTTGATAAGGTTAACCATACATGTCTTATCAATAAGCTCAAACGATTGGGTATCAAACCACCTCTAATCGATTGGCTCACTTCATGCCTGAAAAATAGACATTTTAAGGTCAGTTTTAATTTCACTTTATCTCAGGCTATGGAATGTCCTAGTGGGGTCCCCCAGGGCTCAGTACTAGGACCTTTTCTCTTCTTGATCTACATAAATGATCTTCCTCAACAGGTAACGTCAGACTTATTACTTTTTGCCGACGACGTGAAACTTTGGAGAGAGATACGCAACCAAGACGATATACAGACACTTCAGGAGGATCTGACTTGACTTCAAAGTTGGGCAGATGACAACGGACTTACCTTTAACACTTCAAACTATAACGTGGTTCATCTGAGACATGTTGCAGACTACAGTTACAACTTAGGTAACTCCTCTCTAGTAGTATCCCAAGTCGAAAAAGATTTAGGAGTCCTGGTGCGCTACGATTTAAAGTCTTACGCTAACTGTGACAATAATGCCTTCCGAGCAAACCTTGCACTAGTAACATTGAAGCGCATTTTTGGCCATTTTGACGGAAGAAATTTCCATATAATCTCCAATAGTTTTATTCATCCTCATTTAGAGTACGGAAACATAATATTTCCCCCTCCCCCAAAAAGGATAAGGACACCCTGGAGCGTATCCAACGGCGAGCCACGAAATCAATTCTAGGACTTAAATTTAAAACTTATGAAGTGCGCCTCCATTCACTTAACCCTTATCCATTAGAGTATAGACGTCTTGGAGGTGACCTTCTGATGGCTTATAGTATCCTTAACACTTCTGGACATCCTCTCAAACACCTACTTAGGCTTAGTTCCAACACTAACCTAAGAGGTAACACCCAAAAACTGGAGACGCAAGATAGCAGAACGAACTGTATGCACAACTTCTTCTCCTTAAGAGTTGTCAAATGCTGGAATTCGCTGCCGGCCGAGCTAGTCCAAGCGACTTCCCAGGAGTCCTTTAAGAGGCAACTTGATCTATTCTTAAGGACTAAGGATAGTATCACACTATGATTTACTAATTTATTTTCCTCTTTTATTGTTAACATACCTAGGTTCCTTCCTTCAGGATTTGGTGATCCCCTGCTACTAGACACGGAAACCTGTTGAGCGAAAGCTTCTTCTATTTCGTCCACAACCATTTGAACCACTTGAATAACATTGGGGACTGTATTATACTTGGAAGACCATTTACATACAGTGTAAAAAGTAAAGGACCTGGGACGGAACCTTGAGGTACTCTAGTAAGTACTGGTCTCCAGATGGAGCACTTGGAATTTATTCTTACTTTCTGTCTACGACCTACTAGGAAATCCATAAGACATTTTAAAAGAGGTCCGGCAATACCAAGGTTTTCTAAATTCAATAGCAGTCTATTAGTTGGCACCTTGTCAAAAGCCTTACTGAAGTCTATGTAGACAACGTGCACTGAGTTTTCGCTGTTTAGCCCTTTTATCCGAAATTCCATTGCTATAAGGAGGTTCGTTGTACAAGACAAACCCTTTCTAAAACCATGTTGTTTGATGTTTAACAGGTTATTGGCTTCCACAAATGTCATTATGGTCTGTTTGACTATTCCTTCTAATATTTTTGCTACAAAACTGGTGGGGCTTACTGGTCTATAGTTCGGTGTAAGTTGTCTTAATTCTGTTTTATGTATGGCGGTGAAGATTACGTCCTTTCAGTCTGTAGGTAACGCACCTTGGTCAAGTGACATATAGAATACGACAGTCAGTGGGGCCGCGTTATAATGCGCAATATTTCTCAAGATTTTAGGGTGTGGTTTATCTGACTCTGTTGTTTTTTCCATGTTTAAGGTGCCAACAGCCTTAAGCACATCGTCTTGATCGAAGTCCACGGTGAGCAGGTGGTTTGTTGACTGTTTATTTTGGTCTGGATCTTTCTCTAGAGGAGGTTCCCGAGTGGAAACTGTCCCAAAATAGTCAGCCATAGTCTCTGCTTTTTCTTGATCATCTTCTATCATTTCAGATTCACTTCCTCCCTTAATTGGGTTGGGAATCCCATGATTCATCCTCGTTCTGTAGTTTGTGTGCGAGAATATTCTCTTGGGCTGCTTGAGTACAAATGGTGCCAACTGCATTTCATATTTTCTTTTAGCTTCCCGAATATTAGTTATACACGTGTTTCTTACCGATATTTGGTATTCCATCGAACCTGCTGTGCCAAGGCGGATGGCAACATCCCAGCATTTCTTCTTTTATCTTAGTAAGCGTCGAATATCACGGCCTATCCAGGGACAGCCATGCTTCTTCTTTGGGACTGTCCAGGGTATGTATGGTTGAGTTTCCCGATTGTACAACTTCTTGAAATGAGTCCATGCTTCTTTTACTGATTCTCTTTAGTCAATTTCCCAATTCTCAGCCGATGCTGCGGAGTTGATTGCCACCATATCTGCCTTCCATATATTAGCAAGGGCACACTAGCACACTAACTAGAACTAGTTTAATCGAGTGGCTAGACAAACATCCATTGGATACCGAATCACATCAAAATAATAAGATGCGACCTCAAGTAAATTAAGTGGTTTATACAAGTTCGTGCTAAAGATATTGGATGCTGAAAACTTTAAAAGCTCTCCTTGAGTTCATCCCGCACAAAGCAAAGTTGGGTCCACTTTTCGTGGTTGAGCGTTGATCACTGTAATACCAGTAGTTAAAATATATCGATGACGTCCGGGGTAAAAGATGAAAAAGGATATTCACCTACTGATAGGTATTCAGAGATTTCTATAACAGTTCCAGATATAATTTGGTGTATGTAATATTCTTTATGTGTGGTTTGGGAGGGCTCTTACCATGGAACTTCTTCATTAATGCACAACGGGTACGTTGATTATATATTTTCACTCCACAGTATTTTGATTACAAAATGAGAGACAAGACCCTCCCTCCAGACGCTGATTACACAGACCCCAAATATATGACACGTTCTCAAGTTCTGTTCGGCAGCTATTTGGCAGTTTGCTCTTTGGTCCCTTTATCCATCATGATGGTTGCCAATTTACTGCTGATGAAATGGTCAGATATATGTCCATATAATTTACTCTGCTGCAGGTTCTCCCCGTTTTCCCGATTTGCTGTTGGTAGCGTATTGGTGTTCATCGTGTTTCTCATCACGGTTATCATTGTTTATATTGATCTCAGTAGGTTACATACACTACTCTGATATTTATTTTAGGCGCTTATGCGTTTTTGTCCATAACACTTATTTCGGTTGTGTTCCTTAACTGTAATTTATTTAGCTTTGTAATACGATATTCTATAGGTGGTAGTGCTCTTGCTCAAGGTAGCGTATTTGGTGTAGCAGCCATACTTCCTTCCAAACATATGAAGGCTGCTTTAGAAGGACAGGTAAGTCCCAGTATTAACGTCCTACAAGCAGACAGAATTTTCACATTTCTTAGTCTTTGAATGGTTCTGTCAGTGAGATTGTAATTTATAGACAACTGTTAAGCGACTCCCGAGTGACTTTGAGGGAATCCATTAACCTACTATGGTCTAAAGAGGGTTACAACTTAACTTGAGAGATTAGGACCGAGATTTAAGTCGGAATTTAAGGTTAGGAATTATAGTTCGGGTTTTTATCATGAACTGACATCAACTATAATGCCAAAATGCTACTTTACCATAAGGATGAATGAATTTCGCGCCAAAATCCATACTCGCTATTTTACACCTGATTGATTCGTCCTTAAACTAAGATCTCACCATTATGTTTTTTCGTAACAAGAATTCCCTGCGAACTGTACAAAGAGCCATTGAAACTCTGTGTAAGAGATGGGAAAATATTGGGATTATGTGGAAACGTTTTTCAGTGTATAATTATGTTTTAGTTAACTGCTTGGATTAATTCGCAAGAGGTATATTTTTAATCGGTTCAGTTGATAATTAATTAAGTAGGACGTAACAAGTCAGCTGTAATAGGTTTATCCCACCGATGACTACTGCTCTGCAAATGTTCATTAGCATTTAACTTCACTTCGACTTTAAAAGGTTTGGTGTCGCTTACTGGATAATAATGAAGTTCTATGTACAAGCTTACATGTCAGACTTATCAAGCGTATACAATATAACTTGTTGTACGTACACCTAAGTTTTATACCCGAATTTCGGTGTCAATTATCTGCTTATTTTACTGACACACAATCTAGTTTTGCCTATAATATCTGATTTTTTTCTCATGTATTCTATATTTCATGTTTAGACTTGAGTTGCAGTTGCTGTTATGATATGTATAGGATGATAAGTCATACCATGACACATCACATATACCTTCACTTTTTGTCCTTTAAGTCCCTGGGAGATTTGTGTCATGTACTTATTATTGAGTACATTATATACGATTATTTTACTTTGTATAGTCTATATAATTTTTCAGTTAGCATCCAGACTTCCACCCCTCAAATGTCTTCTGCCTCTTATCGTGTTTTAAATCTGCTCCTATGTCGAATGTCTTTTATTTCAGGCTGTATCTGGTATTCTTGCATCTCTGGCTAATATTGTATCTATTGCGGCTTCTTCCTCAGCGACCACTAATGGGTTAGTTTACTTTTTGGTCGCTCTAGTTTTCGTCACCGCTACAGCTGCTTTGTTCTTGGTTCTTCCTAAAAACGTAAGTTCTTATGCTCGTAATTATTTTCATACGTATATACATACATGAGTTGTATAACTTTTACCGTTCCTAAAGGTATGCAGATGGTACTGAATGTGGCTAGAGTCTTATTTAGAACGTTTTTATATGAAGTCGTTTTGAAGTCCTCTCCTTAAGTTCTGTGCACTGCTAAAATGGGCCGACACTTATTTGTGCCGCGTCGTTAGTTATCTATGATTCAGTGGTGTTTTTTCATATTGAATTAGTGTTATCCACTTTTAATCCAGACGAGAACTTCTGGAATTTATTACTCAATTCTAGCACTACACTTCTGGGTTAAACTCAATGATCAAAAGTCACATGATTTCACGGTCACTGGATTCAAACATACATTATATTTCCAAAAGTTAACTTTGGATCGTTTACTTCATGGATCATGTAGTATTTATTTCCTTTTGGGGAAAATAGTTACCTGTTTCTTTATCGATTATTTCTTAACTAGATACACATTCTATGGTTAATTCTGATTAAACTAAAGAATAACCTCAAATATTTGATCTTGAGATTACAAAAGATCTAAGTGTATTAGAGTGAGTGAATTTCCAACTAAGTACATGCTTGTATAGTCTAACAGTTAACTTTACAGTTTGGGTGTAGATTTTTGAATGTTCATTTCGTAACTTGGTGGTGGAACAAAGCTTATTTTACGCTCAATATAGTGGAAATAAGTGATCTGGATGCACATATTCACAATCTTACGAATTAAGCAAAACTAATGTGCAGAGATTCCTCTGCAAAAAAGCGTCTCCACGGTCCAGTCACACAAGATGTTCAGCTAAATGTTATTTGTGGAGAGGTGGCTTATTTGGTTAAACACGATTACTCTTCATAACTCTGCTATATGCATTTTGATTCAGGAGGTTAATTGGTATCACTTGTTTTGTATAAAAATGGCTGAAACCACGTAAACGAACCGGTACTTGTTTATAAATTTGTTTTGGATCACTTTACACTGAAAAGGAAGAATGAATCTAAGAAATACTGTTCGTGGACTTATTATCAGGCTGTATTCAATGCGATGCTGTAATTATGAATTGTTGCTTAATGTCTGTTCATTGAGAAATGCAAAGCAATCAGAAAGGTGCATCACGGCAAAAATATGTGTTGTGTTGTGTCGTGCTTTATAGGAGACTAGAACGGAAAGTTTTGCTATGAGTTTTGTATCTGTTAGTGTAAATGCTGTTTCAAGGAAATAATTTGAGTAAACAGAGGGTGTAATTGTCAGTTTTATAGTGTGGAGCTGAGTCGCCGTTGACTATGATCACCACTACAGCAAGACTACTTGGCAGTTACCAGGTTAGATCCCTCCGTAGACCAAATATCAGAAGGCAGTTGGAGGTTGTAGTAAGATGTATTTGTTAGCGATCTCGTGGTATCAAAAGAATACCGAGGTCGTGCCAAAGTTTACAAGCGGGACTACTGAGCGTACACGAGTTCGTGCAAGGTCACACACAACGGAGGTATGTGTGTTTTTAGTACACTTAAACAAACAGGTACAGTAAAACAATCACTAGTACAACTGGTTATGGTGACAATTGTTTCCATTATACCAATCGTGTTCTCTTCATAAAAGTAGGTCACTACAAGTTAAAGAGACATCTACCACAGAATTCTAATGTTAGTGTTATAATCAGTCGGATTAGTTAAAAGTGACCTAATGGATTCGTAAAACAACTAATCCTACGAGTATGAAGAAAGAAGTCGGGGTTTGACATCACTATATTACTCTCTTTTCATCAAAATTTATTATAATTTAAGACTGGACCTTGGTTATTGTGGAAAAATACAGTTTCAAATCACCCTGTTCATAAAATCTAGAAAGGTATAGGGAATTTTTAAAAATAGAGTTTTAGATTACACAATTCCTATTTTTATGACTGTATACAAGGGATTGTATAACATCGTCGTTCAATAAATCATGCTACTTCATGTTGTGATTTCTTTGGCAAATTAACTTCTATGATTTTACTAACAATGAAGGCTTACAAATTCTTTTTGAGAAACCTGTACAATCACAAAAAATTATGACCAACTTGTGGATTTACTGTAGAATTCTGTGGCTTTACCCACTTGCTTATAGTTGATAGGGTATTTACAATATCCGAAGTACGGTTCTACTTTAATCTTTTGATTTTAAGGATTTTGTTATTTTGTGTTGGTATAAATGCCTTTAGTTATATCTACATTGACTAAGAACTCCGCCTTGAGCCCCTCTGAGGCTACTGCCGGTTCCAAGCCCGGATAAAGGAGGAAGGTTGGGCATGGAGTTGACCACTCCATCCTGTATATAACTAACTCGCTATAAAAACACCAACCAGGGAAAAATAATTCAAACCATTTAAATCCCGCTCTGGGCGTTAGAAGGTCCTCATTTAGGGGAGTTATGACGCCTTATGGTGAAAGCCGAGTTCCTTCGGAAGTCACGAGGCTGATGCTCTTCTGACAACCGGAGCAACCATTACATGAAATGCTCGTACAATGTGGGAGATCGGGAGAGTATTCCAAATTGCTGCAGAAATGAAGAGATACAATCTGGATGTGCTCGGAATCAGTGAAACACATTGAACGCAGATTGAACAACAACGACTAGCTTCAGGGGAGCTCCTGTTATACTCCGGCCATGAAGAAGGAAATGCCTCACATACACAAGGAGTTGCATTGGTGCTATCCAAACAAGCACAAAATGTACTTATAAGATTGGCATTTCATGGATCAAAGCCTCCTTCAAAACAAAGAAAGAGGGCATTACAATGAACGTTATCTAATGCTATGCGCCTACCAACGACTACAATGAAGACGCTAAAGATCAATTCTACGATAGGCTGCAGTCAATCGTCGAGAAGTTCCCAACAAAGGACTTGACTATCCTAATGGGAGACCTAAATGCTAAGGTCAGAATGGACAACACCGGATATGAAAACACCATGGGACGACATGGACTGGGAGATAGAAACGCAGATGGTGAGAGATTTGCAAACCTATGTGCCTTTAATAAACTGGTTATAGGCGGCACTATATTCCCACATAAATGTATACACAAAACCACATGGACTTCACCGGATTATACTTCGAAGAACCAAATCGACCATACCTGCATCAATAAAAAGTTTAGAAGGACGATGGAGGACATGAGAAGCAAGAGAGGAGCTGATATTAGCCACAGACCATCACTTGTTGGTCGCCAAGATAAAAGTGAAACTCAAGAAGCGCTGAACAACGGAGACGGCAGCATCATTAAAGTTTAATACGGCCTTCGGGACACTGACTGACTTAACGAATTCAAGATAGTCATCAGCAATAGGTTCCAGGCCTTTCACGATTTACTCAATGGAAAAGTGGCTGTCATACAGAACCACTGGAAAGGGATCAAGGAGGCAATCACTTCAACATGTCATGAGGTTCTGGGCCACAAGGAGAACCATTACAAGGAATGGATAACCGTCGATGCACTGGATAAGATTCAAGAAAAGTGGAACAAGAAGGCAGCAATCAATATCAGTCGAACAAGAGCAGAGGAAGCCAGGGCACAAGCTAAATACAAAGAAGCAAACAAGCAAGTCAAGAGGAGCATCAGAGCCGACAAACGTAAATATGTGGAAGATTTAGCAGTGAAGGCAGAAAAGGCTGCAATAGAAGTAATATAAGGAAATTGTATGGCACAACGAAGAAACTCGCTGGAAATTGGCGTAAACCAGAAAAACTGGTGAAACGTAGGAAAGGCAAAGTAATCACCAACACTGAAGAATAGCGAAACAGGTGGGTAGAGCACTTCAAAGAACTCTTGAGTTGACCAGTCCCACTGAACACATCCACCATCGAAACATTATTATTTATTTTATTTTATTTGAACGCATAAATATTGGTACAAGAGAGCGCCAAATATATATGCGCCACACAAAACAATGAGAATTTAAAGAGAAAGAAGAAGAAACAAGGTAAGGAGCGTAAAAAAGAGAACAATAACGAAGAGATTGGTGTAAGGTAGTGTAATAATAATGATAGTAATAATGGGGAAACGGAAAAGTACAATCAGAAGAAATCTTTCAGTTAAGGAAGATACAACCACTTTTTATGAAGAAAGTAAAAGAAGGTTACAGTAGGATCACCACTGGCTTCTATTCTGAGCCATATCTGATAACGTCTCAAGCCACTGTGTTACATCATCTTTCGGACCCCAACCAGGGAGTCGTGAAGGACCAACACAAGCCAGTCCTTTGCAGCTTTCTTTCATACCATGACACCATGTCATATACTAACCACCTCTCCGCTTCTTCCAACCAGTCCCAGAGTCGGCAAATAATGCACGACGTGGAATTCTCTGTGACGACATTCGTAGAACATGTCCAAGCCACCGAAGTCGGTGTTTCAAGATGGTGACACCAACCGAATGACCGTCTCTGCTCCCGAACACACGATGCCGAACCTCTGCATTACTAACATGGTGTTGCCACTGAATGTCAGCAATCCTTCGGAGACAACGATGATCAAACACAGAGAGGTCGTCTGACATCCTCAACTCAGACAGGCTAGGCTTCATAAGCACAGAGCAAGACTGCTCTCACCGACGCGTTGTAGATCTGACCTTTTACAGCCAGACTCACATCACGAAGGCGCCAGAGATGGCCCAGATGGACATAAGCCGCTCTGGCTTTCACTGTACGTGCATTGATCTCATCACTCACGCCCCCACCAGCACTTATGCAACTACCCAGATACACGAACTTCTCGACTACTTCTATCTGCTCACCATCCAGGGTGAGTACAGGATTAGAATCCTGCCAGTCTTGTAGAAGTAATTTGCACTTCGAAGATGCAAAGCACATACCATACCTACGGACACTGATTGCCAACTGATTAAGTGCGGATTGCATGCCTTGGGCATTATCGCACAGTAAGACAATATCGTCCGCATACTCAAGGTCGAGAAGTCTTTCTCGAAGCAAAAGATCCACGCCGCCATT